TGAGTACAGACTACGACAGTTTGGATGGAACTGGATCAAAGGTCAATAACGTAATAATTGATTGCACGTTGAAATAAATATGTATACATTTGTGTATTGTCATTGTATCTTGTATCCCAATATTGCATTATCATTACATACGTTGCGTTCCCTACCAACTACTTATCTGCATTGACTCAGTTATTTATCGACAGGTCCAGCGTGAGTCTGCTTTGTATGGCGTAAAAACACATTCACGAGTATTTAGTAACGTTCTTCATGTACATGATTTCCCGTGTATACTTTTCTCAACTTTCAAGATGCTGTAAAACATGTCAGTGATATGACAATTAAAATGTAAGACGTAGTATACTAGCGGCAACACTAATTAAACAAAGACTACTCGCGAAAATGATCCTCAAAGCGTCTGAAACATGAACAAATGATTACAAAATCTTACCTAAAAAAATTTCACTCTTGAGCAATATATATAAATATAGACAAATTAAGTCTCCTCTTACTCGGTCAGCTGAGTCTTACCCATGCGTTCATTGGCAAAGAATGAAACAAATAATTGTACCCAAGTATGACTTGTTCCAATCGCAACATGACATGTCAAGTAACGATTCAATGCAAATTAACACAAACAGTTAAGAAGCAAATTACTGTACACCCACGCAGTAAAATACAGTATACAATAATTTAAATCTACTTGCCCTGTGAGAGTGTGCCTTAAAAGAGTAAATAAACAAGATTTACACTTAAAAGATATTCATACAGTAAATATTTATACAGAGGAAATCTGACATAAACACAGAAAAAAAACTGAATTTAGGAAATATTCACTGACCCCTAACCTTGGCTTGCCCATGGCTGCCACAATAGGCACTATTCGATCGTCCTGCGAAATAACATGCATAATTGTACACACTATTTTGTGGCAATTAAACACAATCTCTATAAGGAACATAAGTTACAAAGAATAAATCTACAATTTTGCCATGACACACTAGACATATATCTTAAATTTGTAATTATTTTAAACATTTCCCAGGCTGCCTTTACTTCATGTTTTTATCTTTAAATACAAATATTTTATGATGTACAGATGGGACCATGGGGGAATTATTAAGGATAATTCTAAAAAAATGTATCACTTTTGTTTTATGCTAGATGTATCTGGAGTTGCTGTTACGGCATCATCAACAACTGGTTTCAAATTTAAAACGTATGTAGTCATTACTGTCGACATTAAAACATGGTAATTAACTACATACTCTCTAATTTTTACAAAACCTGTTTTTATGTACAGTTTTCGGGCTTCATGGTTATCTTCACCTGTTGTAAGGAATACACAACTAAATTGATGGTCGTTTGCATACTGTACCGCTTTGTTCATTAGTTTAGTCCCGATTCCTAGACGTCGATATTTCCTGTGTACATACATCGTTGTGAGTTCTGGCTGCATGCCACGTCCTTCAAATTCCCTAAGAAATAAAGCGACTGTACCAACGATTTGACCATCATAAACAGCCACCCAAAAGTTACCACTCCCACTGTCAATGTCAATGTAAGTAGTCTTAATATCCTTCAAATCTGAAGCAAGTCTTTTGCGAATACATTGTTTGAATATTATATGCGTTGATATGTTGTATGCGGTTGGTATTAATGCAACTATTACAACACACAATAGAACTGAATTGTATACATACAACGATAAATAAAGACACAGGGCTAGCAGGAAGACGTTAATAAATCTTCGATAACTCAAATGTCGTTGGTAGTTTGGTTTGAATAAATCCATCATACTGTTTTTAAATACATATATCACCCTTCGTTGATCGTTTTCTTCAAACTGTCGAAGTGTAACAGTGCTTCTCCTTTCCATGCTGGTTAAATATTTTATAAAGCAAATATTTTTATTACATCCACATTATTCTCCTGGAGAAAAACAATATGAAATAGTATCCTCACTATCTATGAAATTAACATAATAATCCCCAAAATCATAAATTATTGGGACCTTTTTTAGAGAATAATGTAGATTCAGACTAGTTTTTTAATATACGTGTCCATCACTGACTGCAAAAGACGAATAATATAAGTTGTAAACTAGAGTAAATACTTGGGCTCTATCTGTTACAACATAGTTAAATTGAATTACAGTTCAAATGATTTAACATTAATAACTGTATAGTTATTACAGAATTAACTAAAACATTGCTTAATAAATAGTTTCAGTGTAGAGCATCTATAAGTGAACAAAGTGGTGCCAAGTTAATGCTAGACTGGGTTATTTGCCTCTAATACGCTTAGTCTGTTTCTTTTCATGCAACATAAATTGAATAACAATTCAAAATGTCAATGCTGAAAATGACAACCATTATATTATACCAGTATATTGGTGGTGTTAATCCATCGATTTGATTGACCCACACACACAAATTTGCATATGAATTAAGGGTATATTGGCTGATAATGCCCAGTTATGCTAAACAAAGTATTAGAGTGACGGCGTGCACAGTCCTTGATTCGGCGGCGTTGAGACAAGGCATATGTACGTTCCATGTTGCAATCAAAGAAAGCACACTCCCGTGTGCCGAAGGTATTGGAGGCATGAAGTTAGCAAATGTGCTAATATTAGAGCAAATACAACATTTAAAAATATAACAGCAACCAATGATCTGGGGGTTCCAATTAGCTATGGTATAACAATTATAAATATTTAATGAAATAATGACCACATACGATTACCTGATATTTTTGGACATATTACTTGTTGCATGTCCCCGTCAGCAAGAGTAATCATCTCAAATTGATTGCAACTCCAAACTAATCAGGCTTGCTCGTTATCCGTGGTAATGATTAGTACTTAAAATATCAGCGGAAAAGCCACAAAATGTACTGACTATGCACATTATGTAATTAATATGCAGGGATAATAACCCACAACTTATCAGATCTGCCGCCTGTTTTATGACATAAATGTACCAAGTTTCATTGTAATGTTATGATTAGTATTTGAGATTTCAGTAGGAAAGTCATAAATTGACAAATCATTATGCAAATTGGGTAATTAATATGCAGGGATAATAACCCACAACTTATCAGATCTGCCGCCTGTTTTATGACATAAATGTACCAAGTTTCATTGTAATGTTATGATTAGTATTTGAGATTTCATGATCGAAATTGTACACGATCGTGTATTTCAAATGGCGTCGACGTA